ATCTTAAAGCTTTATCACATCCGTTGCTGTTTTAAAAGTTTCAGAAAAGGTTGTTCCTAAGGATAGCAAGACTTTGCAAAGAGTAGTTCTGTGATTGCATTCTGTAGACATGGTGTTTTCCAGTAGTTGGTTCAGTGAAATAACAGATTATTTATAGAAACCAGGTGGAATCAATATGATGCGCTGAGCTAACTCAGAAAAGATCTTTCTAAAAACACATAAATGTTAGGTGAAATATAAACAAAGGAAGGCTCTCAAAACGTAACTAAGCTCAAAAGAACGAGAAGGAAATCCAGATACCAAAAATAGAGGCATCAAAGCCAGCAGGGTTAGAGGAGGTGAAGCCAGGGAGGCTGCATGGGAGTATCAGACCATGCAAAGGGCTCAGAGGCAGAGGTTTCAGGGGTTAATGCAGCGAGAGAGCACCTTAGTCCCATGTGCTTTATAACAGAACCCTATGCATAAAGTTGCAAATTGTATAGGGATGCCCTTTTAGTGAAACAAAAACTAGAAAATTTTTACTCCTTAGATTGACAGATAAGTAATGAGTCATACTGTAGCCACAAGGAAAGAGATGAAAGAAAGAATTACCCACTAGAAACTGGAAGCCCATGCTTATATATGAGGTCCAATTTCAGGCTAGCCAATGCTACATACTATTAATATACAAATTGATGTAACCCATAGGGGCCTAGAAGAGGCAAAAGAAAACTCATTCTGAACAGCTAGAGCATACACAGGAAATGAACCGCAATGAAGGAGGGTCCTTCTGTACTAAGGATAGGAAAATTAGCTTCCCAGTAGCTGGAATTCTAAGAAAAGTCTGAAAGAGTCTATAAAACACCGATGAAAGAAGATACAGAAATCAAAAAGCAAGAGAAGGGTGGTATGTAAGAACAGGTAGAATTGGAAGAAAAATTCCAATAGACATGAAAAGTCTAGTGCTTTAAATTAAAACATATTGGAAAATTATTAAGTGGTTTCAATAAAGCTGAAGGGTGAAGGGAAATTAAAAACATGGAAGAGACTTGGGGATGTGGAAGACAGAATGAGATCGATATAGAGATATTATAGATGGAAGCTCCAGGAGAAGGAGAAATATAGAACGGAGGTGAGGCAGGAATCTCAGTGTTTTCTGTAAGTGAAGATCAACAAACCTTCAAGCTGTTGTAGCTTTCCAGACCTGAGCAGCTGAACAGGATATGAAAACAAACCTCTACCCAGTCATACCCATTCCCTCAGCAATCAAAGACAGAGGGAATTATTGCAGAAGAAACCAGAAGGAAAAGACAGATTCCCTGGAAAAAAAGAAAAAAGGCAAACTGAGTAAGCCTCAGTGCTGATGAAAAGAGACAGGAAAATCGGAGTTGTGTGTTCTGAAGTGTTTGCATTGTTCAAAACGGGGGTTAAATTATTTTCTAACTTTTGACCTTGTCAAATATGCAGGCTAGAAATGTAAGGGTGACCACTAAAATAAATAATGCAGTATTCCTCTCAACCAAAAAATAAAAAAATAAAGCAGAGAAAAAGCCTGATAAGCAAGAAGCATAAAATAAATGACACCATACATATTTTTAAATATAATTGTATATTTATTACCCATACATATCTCTGGAGCAACAGTATAAAATATAGACTGGAAAGTTGTTTCTTTTTTACAGAGGGAGAAGAATGGGGAGTATAAGGAATTTATATTTGAGATTTTATTCTTTTATGAAAATCTGAAGCAGTTCTCAGTTAGGCCTGCTCCTGACATTGCAGGACTTGGTATAACAGTACCAACGGAGACCGTGAACCGCGCATAAATATGCGAAACTATAAATCAAGCTAGCAAAGAATTGTGCTTTTATGATGACACCTTCATAAAGTCTGGTGCACTTCCTGGTTCCTCGCTTACTTGAAGGCCTTAGTGGGGACAAGGCAGCCTGGGAAAGAGCTCACTCCCTGGACACCCCCTCTTTTCTTCAGAACCCCAGCTCTGCCCTGCACACTGAGGGCATCTGCACACATGTGGTATGGTGGACATCCTAGCCCACACATCCAGTTTCTGTTCATATACTGTGCAAAAAGCAGCCCTTGGCCACCCCACAGGCCTGGGGTGTGCACATATGGTCTGCTTTTAGGGGGCTGGAGCTCAAGATGAAGTTGAGTTAGCCTTGAATGCAGGCCTGGGGGTCACTAAGCAGGGACTTCTAAGGTCCCAAATAACTGAGGTGGTAGAAGGCAGGCCTGGGCAGTGGGTGGATGTACCTCCTCAGCTGTGGACCCCTCACCATGTGTGGAGAAAGGGCTGTGGGACAGATTGGGTCCCTCTGAAACAAAGAGTAGCGTTTTTAAACAATATTTCATTACAGGCCGAGCACAGTGGCTCACACCTGTAATCCCAGCACTTTGGGAGGCCTAGGTGGGCAGATCACCTGAGGTCATGAGTTTGAGACTTGCCTGGCCAACATGGCTAAACCCCGTCTCTACAAAAATACAAAAATTAGCAGGGCATGGTGATGTGCACCTGTAATCCCAGCTACTCAGGAGGCTGAGGCAGGAGAATCACTTGAACTCTGGAGGCAGAGGGTGCGGTGAGCCAAGGTTGTGCCACTGCACACCAGCCTGGGCAACAGAGCAAGACTCTGCCTCAAAAACAAAAAGAAAAAAAAAATCATTATTAAAAAAAGAGAGAAAAGCATACACCACTCCAGACGGCATCTGCCAGCACAGGAGCCCTGCCAGCAAAGCCCCATCTGATCTTTGTCAAGTTATTTGATACAGCTGAGTCTGTTCTCTCACCCGCTTGGTGAGAGACCAACATATGTGATTTCAGTGATCCTTCTCACTTCTGGGGATCTGTGACATTCTCATAAGCCCCATCACAAGGAGGAGCTTCTGGGATGTCCAGGGTGGTTCAGGAGGCATGTTCCTCTGGTTCAGGGGCGTGGGGGCAGAGCCTAGTCCTGCATGGGCCCCAGCTTCTGCGGAAATAATGTATTTTATGCCTTTTATGTCCCCACGTGGGGCCTGGCTGGTGAGGGTACCCTGGGGCCAGGCAGCGGGAGGAGCGCCTTCTGCGCACAGTGCCTTTTATTTTGTGCAAGAGTCACGGCCAATGCTGGGCCCATGTTAGACAGGGAGGACAGGCCCTTCTTTATACCTGTCACATTCTGAAACCAGGCAGCACAGGGAGCTGTGGACAGTCAGTGATGTCAGCTACACAGAGAGACAGGTGCCACGAGCTAACTCCTGTGTCTGCACATCTGTGCCGTTCAGGGCAGTTGTTCAGCTGGACCCAGTGAGATTAATTTGGCCCATGGAAGAGGAGAGGGGAGGAGAACCAGTGTGAAAGGATGGAGAAAGTATTTTTCTTCCTCAGCCATGAGACGTTTTGCCAGGCTTAGCTAGCTGAGGCTCACCCTTAATTGGTAATTGTTATTTCAACCGAAGGGATCAGAAATGCTCTCTCTTGGAAAGTCAAAATGAACTTTGGCTCAAAGAACTGTGAAGAACAGCCAGAGCCCCACTTCTCTTTCGATGGCCCTGGGGGAGGTAGGCGGGTCTGCGGTCATGAGAGGGGCCTCCTCAGGCTCCAGACTAACAATTGGGGTTGAAGGGGTTGTACATGGGATTCAAGGACCTGCGGCTTCTACAACTCCATATGTCCTGACGTTCCCACAAACGCTATGGGTCCCTATTCGTCTGCCTGGGCTGCCGTAATAAGGTGCCATAGGCTGTGTGGCTTAAACAGCAGAAATTGACTTTGTCACAGTCTGGAGGCTGGAAGTCCAAACTCAAGCTATCTACAGGTTGGTTTCTCCTGCGGGCTGTCTCCTTGGCTTACAGGTGGCTGCGTGCACCATGGTCTTCCCTCATCTATTCTTATTAGGACAGCACCCATGCTACATTAGGGCCGTCCTAATGACCTCGTTTCACCTTAACTACCATTTTAAAGGCCCTGTTTCCAAATGCAGCCCCATTCTGAGGCAGGAGAGGTGAGGACTTCAACATGTGAATTTAGGGGGGACACCATTCAGCCCATAATCTCCTCGTGGGTACTAGCAAACTCCTGTAACGACAAGCAAAATGACAGCCTGATGGTAAAAATCAAAGCACTTTGGCCTGCCTGGGCAGTTTTCAAGCACTCCCTTTGGGTTTATAGAAATAAACAGATTGGGCATGGTGGCTCACACCTGTAATTCCAGCACTTTGGGAGGCCAAAGTGGGAGGATCACTCGAAACCAGGAATTTGAGACCAGCTTGGGCAACAAAGCAAGGCCCTGTCTCTACCCAAAAAAAAAAGTTTAAAATTAGCCAGGCATGGTGGTGCACACCTGAGGTCCCAGCTGCTCAGGAGGCTGAGGTGGGAGAACTGCTTGAGCCCAGGAGCTCCAGGCTGCAGTGAGCTGTGATTGTGCCACTGCACTCCAGTCTGGACGACAGTGAGATCCCCATCGTTTTAAAAAATAGAATCGAATAGCCAAGCTCCACATTTCTTCACAGCCGTGGCAACCTTGAAGGGAATAGGTTCAGGAAAGGCAGGGATTGCTCCTTAGCCTTCTGTTTTAGAAGAAAACTCGCTTGATTTTCATTGGGGGTCAAAATAATCAAGTTCTGCGGAACGAAGCCGGCCTGTGGCTGGGGTCCTGAGCCTCGGCGGGGCTCTCACCCCGTGCAGTGCAGGGGGCTGCAGGAGGAGTCAGGCGCGGAAACGTTCACCCGGAAACAGGCCGCTCCTTGCAGAAATGTCCTGGGAAGCCCAGAGTCCAGCGGGTATGGACCGGGCACATGCACACTTCGGCAAGGAGGGGGCGCTGGCTGAGGGAAGGGCTGGAAACCGCGTTTTCCACAACGGGGAGCCAGCCTCGAGGCGCCCAGATGGCCTCTGCTGGAAATCAGAGGCAGCTGGTGAAGCATCACGCCTCCCCCCCCCCACTCCCCCCACCCCAGTCTGTCTCATTGTACGATCCGAGTGTTGAGGTGACCCGAGACTGACGCGCTGGCTTTATCTGCAGGCTGAATGAGCGCGACCGCCTGATCAAGAGGCTGGGCCGGAAGACGCCCCCGACGCTGTTCCGAGGCAGCTCCCTGCAGCAGGGCGTCCCGCGTGAGTGCAGCGGTGGGGGAGGGGGGCGCTGATGGAGCTGTGGGTGTCGGTGGGGGCGGGGGCGGGGCTGGTGGGGAGTTGGGGGAGCGGGTGCTCATGGGGACCGGGTGGATACTGATGGGGATGGGGCGGGGCGCACCTTTGGAGGTAGAACTTCAAAATATGTATTTGGCCCCAGGAACGTGCAACCTGAATGTAGGTAATGCCCTGGGACCACAAAACCCTTAAAGTTCTGATGTGGTTAAGATCCTAACGTCAGCCTCCCAAGAAGGGTTTTTTGAAGGCTTAAGCAGTATGACCTTTAACTGTTGCCCCTAGAGATAGCAATATGAACTGTTTTGTGTAGTATTGCCATATTCATTGAAACGATGACCATCATTGGGGAAAAACGTCTCCATGCTTCTCCCAGGAAGGCTGCTCCATATCTGAGGCGTCCGCCTGCCACCCCCGCCCCCACCTCCAGATTCCCTCAGCGGGAGCTCATGGGCTTGTTTTTAGCAATCCAGTCATCAGATCTCAGCTGCCACAGATCCAGGCTGCCTTCCCCAGGGCCAAGGCCAACCCAGCCCTGCCTCTCCCGGCCCTGTGGCCTCTCCAGCCCCTCTCCACCCCATCAGGGGCACAGGCCAGCTCTTCCTCCCATACCCACTCCCTGCCTCCCTTTCCCTTCCCGAAGAATTTAGAGGGAAAGGACTGGTAGAAAGAGATGAGTTGGGCTGGATGCCGTGGCTCCCACCTGTAATACCAGCACTTTGGCAGGCTGAGGCAGGTGGACCACTTGAGATCAGGAGTTCGAGACCAGCCTGATCAACATGGTGAAACCTCGTCTCTAATAAAAATACAAAATTAGCTGGGCATGGTGGCGTGTGCCTATAATCCCAGCTACTTGGGAGGCTGAGGCAGGAGAATCACTTGAACCCAGGAGGTGGAGGTCACAGTGAGCCAAGATCACACCATTGCACTCCAGCCTGGGCAATAAGAGTGAAACTTTGTCTCAAAAAAAAAAAAAAAAAAAGAAGAAGAAAGAAAGAAAGAGACAGAGAGGTTTATGAACGTGAAGAACCATTGTTCACACAGTACAGGCAGTGAAGGATCTGTGTTCAGTTGAGCTCCACCTATCAACAGGTATTTGCAGACTTTCTCAAAGGACAGACGAGGAGGAAGACAGAATATCATCGCCTTTTAGTAATCTACTCCCTGTCTTCACTTTCCCATGTGGAATATCACATGGAAAGAAGGGGACTGACGTGCTTCTGTCCTTTAATGCTCCAGTGTCCAGGAGGTGGATAATGCTGCCCCAAGGACACAAAGCAGAGGCTCAGGTCAGAAAGTGGCTGACCCAGCATTGCTCAGTGACATGCCCTGAGGTCTGGACTGCAGCCTCAGACTCTAGCCCAAGAGAGAGGTGAAGTCAAGAGGTTTGATGGGACGGGAGTGCTGACTGCTGGGCAGCCCTCTGGAGATGGGCTGCCTGGGTTCCTGTCCTTGCTTCCCTGCTTTTTTGTGACCTTGGGCAAGTTACTTAATGTCTATTTCTGCATCTGAAAAGTTGGGTAATATGAGAATTTTACTGAATGCTAGAGGTTCAGTCTAGGTCCTGTCACCCACAGCTGCACAGAAGGCCAATCACTGAGACAATTATTGCCAAGGGAGAAGGCTTTATCTGGTGCTACAGCCAAGGAGGTGGCAGATTAGTCTCAAATCAGTCTCCCTGACTGACTAAAATTAGGGGTTTATAGAGCAAGGAAGAAATGTAACGATGTGTAAGAAAATCAGAATCAGGAGGGGTAAGGAAGCAATCAGGATGAATGAGGGGCTTGGCATCCTATAGTCTGGATGAGATCACTGGGTGAGTTTCAGATCTTTGATACTGTTTGCTTGTTTGTTTTGTTTTTTGGGACGGAGTCTTGCTCTGTCACCAGGCAGAAGTGCAGTGGCGTGATCATGGCTCACTGCAACTCTGCCTCCCCGGTTCAAGCAATTCTCCTGCCTCAGCCTCCCAAGTAGCTGGGACTATAGGTGCACGCCACCATGCCCAGCTAATATTTGCATTTTTAGTAGAGACGGGGTTTCACCATGTTGGCCAGGATGGTCTCAATCTCTTGACCTCGTGATCCACCTGCCTTGGCCTCCCAAAGTGCTGGGATTACAGATGAAAGCCACCATGGCCTGCCTCTTTGATATTTTTTGGGAGGCCTGGGAGGTCCTTACCTGAGGAAGAAACTCAGATAAAACAAATGTAAGTGTCAAGCTTTAAGACCAGAAGGACCATTTCTGTTTTTCCAATTAAAAAAAAAAACACAAAAACTGTCTGTGGGACTATTGGGTTGGTTTCAATTAGGAGGATTAAATGAGATCATAAAGTACCTAGAACAGTACAGGCAATATAGAGTCCCATCAATGTTGGGTATTATTATTCTGCCATTATCTGAATAATTTGGGGAAACTTACATATTTCTCTAAATTTTTATTTTCTCCTGTGGAGAAAAAAGAATTTTAATGACATATATCTTACACAGTCCTTGTGAGTCTTCACGACAATATGTGTAAAGCACCTTCTGTATGCCAGACACGGAGAAAACACGTACAGGTTCCCAGAACTCTACAGGGTCTCTTCTGTAGAGCTGTGTTGCCTCTCTGACGAATGTTTCAAAACAACCGTAGACAGAATATACACAACATATATGTTGTGATCAAAGACAGAGTGAGAATTTTTATGGGAAAGTCATAAATGTCTTAAGACAACTACTAAATGCTTTTCTTAAATCAATATTTTGAAGGCCAAAAAAATCTACTGAATAAATGTAAGAAATAAGAAGGCTTCTAAAATCACACCACATTTTTTAAACACTCAGTGACTAGTACTAGAATCTGATGGATAACTTATTAGGACGTTTCTGTCATTAACAGCCAGAGAAGACCATCGGGTGGTCAGAACTGGTCCTGGGGTGCAGGACGGGTGTTTAGTGGGTCTCAGCCTTTGATGTTCCCCCTGGGTCTGTTGAGGAGGCTGGCAGGAAAAACTCTAATCTTGGTAGTACTGTGAGTTCCTGTGAGCCACCAGCATACACTGTTTGTCACCAGCGTTTCCTACACAGTCTGATTTCCTCACCGTCCCCAGGGTCTTCTCGTTTCTGTGGCTATTAGGAATCTTTCCAGACAGGAGGCTGCTATTTTCATTAAGATCCTATCAGAGCTCAGATTCAAAGGAATGCTACTTAAAGGGAGTTTTATTCCAAAATAATGAAAAAAAATGACATGATTTTATGGCCTTCACCACATGTTCTATGGAGAAGACAAAACAACTAAGAAATCCATCTATCCTCCCACCTCCTGTCACCTACACGATTCTTTCCTCCATTCTGGCTGTGGCAATTTAGAAAGCAGATGTGTTAGGAAGCCAGCCAGAGAAGGTTCACAGTTAGCTGGGTCCATGCGAGCTCCTTCCAGGCCTCCATCAAGACTTTCTGGCTGTTAGGACTTCCTGAAAGATGAGTGAGAGTGGGGAAATGCAAAGAGCTGGAGGCTTCCTCTGAGCTGTCCATTTGGATGCAAATGTCAGTTAAAGGTTCATTAGGCAGAGCAGGGGAGCAGGCCTGCCTCTTTATCAGGTGGGGCGGGTCGCTGGGCAGGCAGGGCTGGGTGAGTGGTGATGGTGTCTGTTTTTCCAGTGAAACCCCTCTCTTGACAGCTTTAACTCCCACCAGGCCTGGTTTCTAAGAGGAAAACGTTTTATCTGAAATTTTATCTGAACCTGGGAGGACTCCCTCTCCCAAGATAAACCTATCAGGCCCTCCTCCTTTCGCTCTTGAATTGTAGAGTCCACTTGTGTTCTCAGTGAAGGTTAAGAAAGCCTTAGCGCAGAGCAGGCTGGAAATGTGGTGGTAGGTGCACCCAATGGGAACTAGGGAGGATGGTGGGAGACATTTGACACAGACCTCAGGGTGCTCTACTTACCCTGGGAGGTTTGCAACAGGAGGAGGAACTCCTCTGTCTCTTCAAAGGGAAACCTCAAAACCCTTCCCACCCCAGGGGGGCTGAATCATCCTGCTGCAATGCCACGGGAGCCCCTTGTGGCCATGGCACTAATGCACACAGAAGAAGTGACAGAGTAATGAGCTGAAGAAACCCCCGGAGTTGGGTTTGCAGAGGACACAGGCATGTTATGGAAAACAAGATAAATAAAAGAAAAAGCTTTTGCACCTTTCATTTGAACAGGGAGTAGATATTCCAAAGGCTAAGGTACCCTTCCCAAAAGCACACATCCATACTTATTTTTACGTCTCCATGAGTTTCTCCATGAGAAAGAAAGCAGACCAAAAAAGATATAAGAATTGTTCCTTTTGGGTAGACTGTTGCCCCGGCCCTTTCTTTCTGGCATGGACGTGGAGGCCTCCATGTTGGTGCAGTGTGAACTGGCACTGAGAGAAGGAGAGAATCCTGCAGCCTGCGTATGACTGGGCACGACATGTCCTGGAGCCCATAGAGAGGAGCGGAGCTTGAGAGTACTTGGGCCTTGCCTGGTCCAGGCCATTTAATTTACAGAAAAGTACACCAAGACCCAGGGGACTTACAGAGCCCAAAGTCACATGGACAAGCAAGGGCTAGAACAAAGTCACATGGCAGCAAGCAAGGGCTAGAACCACCCTTTCTTTCTTGGCCACCACGCAACCCCATGCTGCAGCCACTCGGGGTCCCCAGAATCTAAGATAAAAACCAGCGAGCGGAGAAAGACATCTTCAGGGTGGAGAGCTCAGCAGCGCTCAGCCTGCCACCAGGAGAGTTTGTAAAGAGTATGTCCGGTCCTTTGGAGTGACTGTTCGTTACTCAGAAACACTTCTGTAGGACTGAGGAGCAGCCCCTGGGTGGTGCAGCAGCTGTGGAATTAGCGGCTACCCTGCCATCGCAGCCGCTGTCCTGCCAGGCCCCCTCAGGAGACATCAGATGTGTACTAGAAATGATCCTTATTCAATCAAGGACTGGAGAATGGAAATTGTCCAAGTTGACCACAGTATATAGCCTTGTTACTGGAGCAGACGAGGCAGTGTTATTTGCTAGATTTTGTTTTGAAACATCCCAAGGAAAGACATCTCCTCTTTGACTGCAGTAAAAATGCTTCACAAAGAGCACCTTGTACAGGATTTGGGGTGGGAGTGTGTGTACCACACAGTGCCGGAGGGAGGCAGGAGGCTGGGGCAGCTCCTGCAAACCAGGCAATGGAGGTTTCTTTGTCCCTGCTGAACTCTGATTAAGCAACTTGGTGAAAAGCCAAAAGCTCTTAGGAGAACAGGAATGGTGGCATTTGCTCTTCAGTGCTTGGAAGCAGATCATGTGAAGACTCTGAAGCTCTCAGAATCAACGCATAGCCACCTCATCAGAGAGTTCAAGTGCACTGGATGTGGGCCCAAGGCTGGAACAAGCATGTCTGCCCCCAAGGGAGCTCCCCTCCAGGCTGGTGCTGCCTTCAGGCTCAGGGACCCACCTGCTCCTCTACCCAGTAAATGGGGGCTCATACCAGTCTTCACCTTGGCTACCACGTGGTGGTAATTTTTGGTTCATGTGTTTTGTTTTGCTAGAAATGGAGGTGAGCAAATAGACAAAAGTCCCCTGTGGAAAATTCCTCTCTGTTCTTCCATTCACCCTGGCTCAGCTTGTGTCACCTTCTGTCCCGCCTGCTGCCTCTTCCTCCCATGGCCTCACTGGTCTGGGGCCTCCTCCCTGCTGCTCAGCCCATGTCCACATTCAACTCTCAGGCCACCCCTGCAGACAAGCCCATGCCTCCCCGGATAACCCCCCTGAGCCTTTGGGATTTGCAGGCAGTGGCTGGAAGGCATGTTCTCTGGAAGAGCCGGGAAGCCAGCCCAGGACTGGGACTCTCAGTTATGGGAACACACAGAGTCAGAAATCAGCCTGAGTGTCGTGATTTAAAGCCTCCTCTTCTCCATCCCAAAAGGACTCTTCTGTCTCATTACTGTACCTCTTGATACTCTAGAAATTTCATTTTTAAGCCAGATGTCTGAGGAAATCAACAAGCAGTTTAGGAACTGATACATGGGCACATTTTCTGACAACTTTTCTCCTTTTAAAGAGTATGACACTGAACAAACAGCTCCCTTGATAAGTTGTAGGCATGCATGGATGGAAGTCAAGAGTGTCAGGTTTTTGATTGTGTTGTCTTTTGGCCGAATGTCTAATTGAGCTGTGGGACTTTCCCATACCCCTGACACAGGAGGGTTAGCCATGGAGAGCAGTGCTTATAAATGTCTTTCTGTTGGAAGGGCCCGTTGGAGGCAAAGCCTCACTCTGAGCTTGTGAACACTAAAGCTCTTCCTCAGCTCTAGAGTGTGGACCCTGAATTTGCTTCCCAGCTCTGCCACTCACGAGGTCTGCACCTCGGGCAGGTCACAAAAATCTCTGTACCTCAATGTTCCCATCTGTGCAGTGGGAGGAATATAATCACATATCTCATAGGGTTTCTAGGAGGAGTAAGTGAGCTATATTTGATAGAACAGAGTCTTAGACACATGGCATTTAATGAGTACTAGCTATTATTTATTTTATTAGTAGTATATAAACTGATTATATGAGAACAGTCTTCCTGTGGCCACAGGTCCAATGGTCACTAAATTCCTTTTGACTTTATTGTGTAATCTTTTTCTTTGTTTACATGAAAACAAACCTACCTTGATTACTTATCACCACTCCAGATACGTCTGATTTAAAAACAGGGCCGCGTGTGGTGGCCCACACCTATACTCACAGCACTTTGGGAGACCAAGGTAGGCAGATTGCTTGAGGTCAGGAGTTTGAGACCAGCCTGGCTAACACGGTGAAACCCCATCTCTGCTAAAAATACAAAAAATTAGCTGGGCGTGGTGGTGCGTGCCTGCAGTCCTAGCTACTCAGGAGCCTGAGGCAGGAGAATCGCTTGAACCCTGGAGGCAGAGGTTGCAGTGAGCCAAGATTGTGCTACTGCAGTCCAGCCAGGGTGATAGAGCAAGACTCTATCTCAAATAAATAAATAAACAAACACAGGAAGCCTCCACGCATCACGTGCATTTTGCCAGCTTGCACTACTAGTGTTGTGTGTGTTTTCCCTGGCATGTTTACAGCTTCATAAATTAGCCGGCTGTCCTACAGCATCAGGCAGACAGGAGTACTTCCTCTTAATTGGCAGTGGGAAAGTGGAGATGGGGACTGATGACCCACTGTGTATGATTCCCACACTGAGCTCAGATGCAGCCCCCCACAAATAGGAAACTTACCCTGGCAGCCCTTCCCATCCCAGCATCAGCAGCTAGAACCATGGGACCCCAATCAGCCTGTACATGGCCATCATGGCCCCTCTATGGTGACAGGTTTCTTCGTCTCACACCTCCACCTACTCAAGGCTAAGGAGACCAGGTGTCGCATACCACTTACCTGCATGCTGCCAAAAAAGCAGCTCATTTTAAACCTAGTGTGCTCCCCCAATTCTCCCGTTAACCAGGTTCTCCTGTGTGCTTCGCTTTCAGACGGGTATGCTTTTTCTCAAGAAGAACACGGAGCTCTGAGTCAGGAAGAAATCATCCGTGCTTATGACACCACCAAAAAGAAATCCAGGAAGAAATAAGACGTGAATTTTCCTGACTGATCTTAGGAAAGAAATTCCGTTTGTTGCACCCGGAGTTAAAACATCTTTGTCAGAAAAGACTGGCGTCAGCAGCCAAAACACCAGAAAACACATTTCTGTGGCCTTAGCCAAGCAGTTTGTTAGTTACATATTCCCTCACAGACCTGGAGTGTAGAGCGCAGGGGAAGCCATCTTTTCCCTCCCAATTTGTCTGCAGTGCTTAGGCTGACTTTTGTTTACGTTGTCATGAAGCATTCAACTGTGCTCTGTGAGGTGTGAAATTAAAAACATTATGTTTCACCAATATTTAAACATCAGTACTAGTTGTCCTGGGAGAAGGGGAAAGGAGTTTTATGTTGCGTGAGAGGCCCATCCTGTGTAATCGGAGCAGGGCACACTTGCTTCCTGTTTGGTCAAGTCACAGATTAAGTCCAACGGGCCACATGCAGACTTCACTGTAGGCAGGTTGCTCTCCTGCTTTGATTCCTGTTTCGTTTGTATGAAGTTGGCATAAACTTCTTGATTGCAGTGAAATCACAAAAATCTATTCCAGGGTGGTCAACCTGAGAACATTTATTTGAATCTGTTTGCCGCATTTCCAGCAGGGTGAACCCACTGATGCTCTGGCAGAATTTTCCTCACCCTCTCCAGGTGCACTCGGCCCAGTCCCACCACCGTGTCCAGGTGCCCCTCACCCCCACATCTGCTGCATGGCTGGCCATGGTGCTCAGTGCATGGCGGCTGATGGGCAGCCAACCCAAACCCACGCCTTTCCTTGTTCCACTGCAAACTCAGATACAGATGCGAAAAATTCCTTCTTCCACCACCCTTCTCGTTCTGTAAAGAAAAGAAATATAGCCTTTTCCGCATATATTCTGAATGTCTCCTTGCCTCTGTCTGATGTGGGGCCACCCCGAAGGTCAGAGTGGTGGTGGAACCCTTCAGCACTCCGAATACTCACCTCCCAACCTCCAGACTGCCCGGCCTTTGGCATCCACTTATATTAGAGCCCACGCTTGTTTCAGAGCACATTTTGGACTTTCACTGTTGGGAACTGAATGAATTTATAACGTGCCTGTGCGACGCCGGAACGCACCTGTTGCTCTTAGCTTTAGAGGCAGAGGATGAGTAAACCCAGTTGCAAGGTTATAGGACATCGAGCGGGGAGAACAAGAGGGCCACAGAAGTCTTCAGAAGGAGAAGGAAGGGCATGGAGACACTGAGAGGAGGGCACAGAGGAATCACCACCAGATCTCTACAGTAGAAACTCTGAAATAAGCCTGAGACCCAGACAAGTGTCCTGGTCAGCCAGTGTATATTAAAGCTTAAACAAGACCTTTACATACAGTTTTAATTGAAAAGAATTCCAAACATTTCAGGGAAACACCTTTTTAAAAATATACTGACGTGGTTTCCTTTCTGTATCCCATCGGTGTTAGACACAGGTACCTATCGGAATACGGCGAATCCTGAATTCTAAGACAAGGAAGGGAAGTGCTGAGTCACTGACTTTCCCAACTGCAGAGTCCCACACTGTAAATCTGAACCAGAACCTAGATGCCCTCAGGCATGAATGTGAGCACCTGGAGCCCTTAATAAGCAGCCTGCCTGGAGCCCTGTTCTCTGCTCTGCTTGCAAACCAGATTTTGGATGGCCTAAAGACTCTGGCAACTGTTACTGGTGAAAATGGGAGTTCAGAGCATGTTTTGGATTTTCACTGTTGGGAACTGAATGAAATTATAACGTGCCTGTGCCGCGAAGGAGCACACCCACCACTCTTAGCTGGAGAGTCAGAGGATGAGTAAACCCTATGGGGATGAACGTGCTTAATTAGGAAATAAGACATTTGTACGCTTTGCTTCCTAACCCTTCATTATCAGAAATCTACAACTTATTGGGCATGGAAATAATTTAAAATACGATTTGCATTGACTAAGAAAACCAGTCTTTACCTGTGAGGTGACCGGAATGCAGAGAGGGCCTGAGGGGCAGCAGAACAATGTAATTCACGTTGCTGAGGCTCCCAAAAGGGCCGTTTCTTTCTCCCCAAGGTGCGTAAAGCATTTTTAAATACTAGAGCACCCAGCAAGACTGAAAGACTGTCACGCAGGAGCTAGGACACGAAATGTGCCTGTGACTAACACGACAGACCCAGAAAGGTGATGACCAAAATATCCAGAGGAGAAATGAAAACTGGAATTGAATGTGAGTTACGTGTCGTAACTGTTAATGCTTGGTTGTGTTTGGGAACTAAGCCTGTTTGGAAAGAGTGGATTAAAACCTCAGTTTTTTCTCAGCTCTGTCTTGAACTTGGAGCCTTCCAAATCAGAACTATGAATTTAAGTGTGTGTTTGTGTTTGGGGGTTTTTGTTTTTATTTCTTAGAGTTCATATTTTTTCTGGGATTTAAGTATACAGGTGTATTTTCCTATTCACTTGAGAAGTAGACTAAACAGGCTTTGCAATGATGACACATGCACACGGAGGAACACATTAGAAGAGGTGCTTTTCTGTCCTCTCACGTGGTTGAGCATTCTTACAGCTGAACAACTAAATTGGTTTTCTAGGAGGAGCAGCTGTCACTGCATGTGATGTATAATATTTAGCCAGGGCCGACTCGGGGGCTCAGTCATTTGTCCTATCTTTAAATTGAGGTCAGAGTGTCACACACAACCCCTCCCCTGGGGCAGGGTGGACTGGCCTAAGTTGCATACCCTGGCTGTCAGCTCAGAGAAAATGCCACATGGTGCTTGTCACTCTGCCACACACTGACTCCCGGGCTGGCAGGTTACACTTGGTTAGTCCTCCAGGGCCAGACTCTGGATTGAGCTAAACTGGCAGAATCCACTCAGACCGACCCTTGGTCTACTGCTGTACACAGCCCACTCCTGCGTCGAGTCTGTTTTGTCCTGGATGTCCCTGCAAAAGGAAGAGACCAGTTGTGCTCTGAGCTTAGTTCTGGGTTTCCACTGCCCACTGACACCTGCCAGCAAGGGTAGCTGTGGAAACATACACCAGGAGAGCAGGGTAGCCTGGGTAAATACTGCATGCTGATCAGAACAGGCTCATCGTCATTTAGGAGTAGAGCTGATAGTCTGCCTCAATGCAGACTACTCCAGGCTTCTTGACCATGGTTATGTTCCCCCATCTCCCAACACACACATGCACACATGAAAACAAAAGCATGGTAACTCTTGGTTCATTCGGTACACCATACAAAATGTGCTTTGGAGAGAGAAGAGCTATTTCTTTGACACTAATGGAGGAACAGCCCGAGAAGTGAACCTGGGCTTTGGGAGAACTCTGCTGAGATTCTGTTGACATTTTCCTTTCCTTGACAGGCTTCAGATCTGTCTTTCTATAGGGAGCTGGCTGTGAAAATCAGTAATAACTTCTCAAGCGTGAAAAATGGGGGGGAAAGTGAGTCTGGGTAACTAATGTCTTATAATGCATATGTATGTAAATATTACAGGCTTTAACGTTGAATTTTTTAAAAAGAAAGCTATAGTCTGTAATTTCCATTTGTTATAAGACCTTTAATCTTGTTGTTTGGAACCAGACAGCATTTTTATCAGGTACTTGTGTTCCAAGGGATTTATGTCTTAAAGCACAGCTGAATTGGATGTTTGCAAAACTCTGCTACGGGATAAGGTGGTCTTTAGTTTTGAATGTGTGAAAGGACTGCGTACTCTTCAACCAGGTTTGAGTTACTGCCCAGGGTCATTGTCTCAAAGTAATTCAAGGAGTGATTTAGCTTCAGCATTTGAAATGTAGCCTTTATCTCCTGGGATCCATAAAAAAATGTAAACAGGGAAATGGTGGCTAAGCAGAGCCTGAAATAATAACTTAGCAAAGAAATGAGTTTATCAGATCGAGTCAAAAGATGGCATCCCCCTATTACACTCTAGAAATGCTTTCTTCGTGTAAATGTTTACACGCACATATGTAATAATGCGGACAGTTAAAGCCCCCTGCCATCAAAAACAGAAAGTCAGTTGGCTTTGTTGTTGGTTCTTCATTGGCTCAAGGCAATTAACTGTCTCAGTGTAGCCTTGGGGGAGATTATTTAACCCCATCATAGCCATTTTTCCATCTTGAAGGGCAAGAAGGACCATTAGAAGGTTTTCAGCGGGTTTCGGAAGTGAGGGCTCCAGACCCCATCATTAGGTACTCTCGAAAGGAGCAGAACGGCCATATTCGATGTGTTGTACTCTTCATTTAGTTTTTTTTCTCAGCATCCCAAATTGTCCATCAGTACATTCCCGTTCACCTTACCCGATCTTCATTTAATGCCCAGTTTCTAACTAATGCTCTGTTTAAAGCTCTCTTAATTTGTTGGATATGAGTGATTTGTGAATCCAGCATGTAACCCTGAGCAAGGAAAAAAGGGAATTAAGCCAGCATAAATCTTAATGGGCAGAAGCCACAAACAAATGGGAGCAAGAAAGAAGGCTTTGCTCCCCTGCGCCCCACCACACGTATAATCCAGTGTTAACCTCCGAGGAACACCTCTGCTCTCCAGACTGAGGAGAGACAAAAGAGTGATTCTTTTTACACCCAGCCTGGCGCATTTTCAAGTGACAATCTCGGGCCCTAGTTGCCTTTGAGACATCCACTCTGCTCTTTCTCCCAGGCCTCAGCCCAAGAAAAACATGCTCTCAAGATTAGCCCATAGGCAGTTCTTGTGACCTGGCTAAAGAAAGAAAGGAGACCTGTTTGTTTTAAAAGTCAAGCGCAAAGTGTCAGGTGGCTTTGATTTATGACAGAAAGAGGAAGAAGAAAGTTGGAAGAATAGCACTATCCAAATAACCCTGCCCAGGAAACTTGGGGGTCAAGAGAGCTTATCAAGAGCCTTTTATAGGTGAGCTCTTCCGTGTGAAAGAAAAAAGGCCGGAAAGAGGGAGAGAGGCCAGAGAGCGGGCTGCCAACTCACTTCCAGTGGGATTGGAGAGTGTTGTATTCTTAGAGATAACCTGGTATGTGGTTATAGGTGAATCAATAAATAACTAAAAAAAAAAAAAAACAGAAAAAGAAAACCTGTCGTGGAGTTTCTTTCCTTCCCTGCACAGTAAATACTTTGGGGTTTTCATGGATAAAATCAGTGTTAAGTACTGTAACTCTTACTCTCCTCTCCCACCCCGCTCTCTCTCCCCCGTTGCCCGAGATGGCCAAGTTCAGGCCTGTCCCATGCCGCTTCCCTCTGAGCCTCCCTCTCAAGGGCCATGCAGGCAGCTGCAGCAGGGCCAGCTGTGGGATGGGGCTGCAGGTCACTGAATTGCCGTTCAAAAGCATCATCTTTGTGGCGTCTTTCTCATGCGAGCAAAGCCATGTGCTCTCCTGTCTGCTGTCACATCTGTGCCTGGATTGCTTAAATATTGTTTGCAATGGGGAGGTTTTAATCTGGTTATGCAGAAGGAAGCAGGGCTGTGGGGACATGTTTAATTGGCTCCCAGCAGAGTGGTGAGCACTTCCATGGCGTGTGGGGTTTTTTGTTCCCTCCCTCTAGAAGTGTTACCATTTTCACGTCCTATTAATGTCCTCTGGTTGTTAAATTACAGCAGCACATTATAGTGCACTGGGTTCCCTCCTGGAGTGAATACAAATGAAGGGCATCTACTTGTATTTTTAGAAGTTTTGGGATAATTTCGTGATTTGTGGCTTTGATCAATCCTGTTGACTGGTGTATGTCTGCGCAAACCTGTTTCAAATAAATCTTTTGTTAAAGTAAGTGATTGGACTCTGTTTTCTTTCGGAATTTTCGTTTCCACTAATAAGCATTTACTGCCACGGGGACCGTGGCCTGTAACACAGGGTTTGTCAGCAGGTGCAGGCTCAAGTACACATACACTGCCTGGAGAGCCAAGGCCTGGGCAGCAGTGTTCGGTGGCAGGAGCACGGGAGAGTGAATTGCAGATGAACGCATGCTCCTTGCTCTGAGGCAAGGCCCCCTTTTCGAGAAGAGAGTCCAGGAGGCCACACTGAGTTTGGATTCAGTCACTCAAAGGAAAGAATGGTGCTTACATGACCTTCTTCCTGCATTACTTCCCTCCCTCTAGTTCATCTCAGCTGGCTACAAAAGGAGAAGGAGGCAGCTCAAATTCAACTGGCGAGCAGGAAATTGTGACCTTGTTACTTTAAAAAGAGGAAAGACACCCCTGCCCATTCTCTGTAGGTACAAGGAGTTGCATTCAGGTAAGCATCCATTGCCTCCAGGTTCTCTGTGATGCCTCAGCCAAGGCAGCCTCCTCACACCTGGGGTAAAGTGGGAGGAAGCTGGGGGGCCCAGATGTTGGCCCCTTGCCTGGCTTTGTTTGGGTAGCTCTATACTTCCCCAGCAGCGCGTGACCTGGGGGTGAAAGACAGCCTGTTGGATGACCGTCCTCTTTAGAAGCTTGAGCCTGGATCCCAAAAGACTTCTTAATTGCACTCTGAATTTATTGCAATCTTCCATAGCGGACTTTGATTCCTCCCAGATGGTCCAGTCCTATCAGACATGGATTTGACCAACTCAGGGCAGTCCTGGCCTCGGTGGCTGCGTCCCAGGCATGGAAAGGACATGGGAGGCCTCAGTTGCAGGCGGAGAGTTCTACAGCTTAGAGCTAGCCAGGGAAGGGCTTTCATCTCCTGCTCTACATTGGCCAGGCCTTTTTTCCCCAATGGTGAAAAAAATAAAAATGATTTATTTTATTTATAACACAATCAACAGCAAAGTGTTAAATTCCAACCTTTGCCATTTCTTGTTCATATCTTTACAAAATCTGCCTTTGCTGCTGCAATGGTTTTCTGAAATGTCATTCTTCACTGGTGTTCAGCAGAATAAACTCGAACCACTGAGAGGCCCTTATCAGCTGAAAACAGTCTGCAGACCTAACCTTTCTGCCTAAAGCAATGTTCTTTGTAATGGGGTCCTCCAAAAAAGTCTTAGGATACTTTGAAAAATGATTCGGCTTCTGCTACTATTTTCAGAATGTTTATGGAAGAGACATATGTAATGTGAGGGGTTGAAGTGTACAGCAAATTTGTCCAACCTGTGGCCCAGGGGCTGCATGCGGCCCAGGACAGCTTTGAATGCGATCCAATTCAAATTCATGAACTTTCTTAAAACATTATGAAACTTGTGTGCGATTTTTTTTTTTTTTTTTTTTTTTTTTTTTTTTAGCTCATCAGCTATAGTTACTGTTACTGTTTTTGAGACGGAGTTTCGCTCATTGCCCAGGCTGGATCACAGTGACATGATCTTGGCTCACTGCAACCTCTGCCTACTGGGTTCAAGCGATTCTCCTGCCTCAGCCCCCCGAGTAACTGGGATTACAGGCATCCACCACCATACCCGGCTAATTTTTTGTATTTTTAATAGAGACAGGGTTTCGCCATATTGGCCAGGCTAGTCTCATACTCCTGACCTCAAGCAATCCACCCACCTCAGCCTCCCAAAGTGCTGGGATTGCAGGTGTGAGCCACCAAGCCTGGCCAGTGTTAGTATTTTATGTATGGCCTAAGACAATTCTTCCCATGGAAGCCAAAAGATCAGACACCCCTGGTGCATGGCAGAGCAACAGGGCATGTGACATGAGGCCTCTCTGCCTCTGATATCTTCTGCCTTATTCCGTCCCACAGGTGAATCTTTTGAGGGAACTTTCCAGTGTTGGTTGGAACGCCAAGCAGTTAATGTTAACCAGGGCTATAGAAGAGGCTCTGGGACTCAATTACCAAAGGGGAGCAAAAACAAAACCCCTCCACCTACTAAAGCTACAAGCACCAAACACATCCAGCTCAGCTCAAAAGCATTCAGCGTTCATTTATTAAAAGTAGGCCATGCGCATAAATAAAATGACTTAAAATTCTTAAGGGTTGGCCTCAAAGCTCGGTCTTCAGCTGTTTGTCCCTCTCTACAATGAAGTCTTCTTGACTTAATATTCCAGACCGGGCACGGTGGCTCAGGCCTGTAATCTCAGCACTTTGGGAGGCAGAGGTGGGCGGATCACCTGAGGTCGAGAGTTCGAGACCTGCCTGACCAACATGGAGAAACCCCTTCTCTACTAAAAATACAAAATTAGCCAGGCTTGGTGATGCATGCCTGTAATCCCAGCTACTTAGGAAGCTGAGGCAAAAGAATCACTTGAACCCAGGAAGCGGAGATTGCGGTGAGTGGAGATTGGGCCACTGCACTCCAGCCTGGGCAACAAGAGCAAAACTCTGTCTTAAAAAAAAAAAAGATTCCAGAGCAATGGATATTTGAAGAAAGGGTGCGCGGTGATCTCTAAAGCAACAGCCTTGGCCTGAGCCTTGGATTTGAATGATCTGTCCCAGGAGTTTCTATATCATTGTTATTAGATTGTTGACAAGTTTAACGCTACTGGTACTGTCTCCCCTTCTCTAAAAAAATGGGTTTCAATTTGAAATATTCTAAATTAATTGTTGAGAAACTCTTCCTGCTTTTCCCCCAACTTTTTATTTGTTTGTTTTGAGACAGAGTCTCACTCTGTTGTCAGGCTGGAGGCACAATCTTGGCTCACTGCAACCTCCACCTCCTGGGTTCAAGCGATTCTCCTGCCTCAGCCTCCCAAATAGCTGGGACTACAGGTGCCTCCACTGTACCCTGCCAATTTTTGTATATTTAGTAGAGATGGGGTTTCACCATGTGGGCCAGGCTGGTGTCGAACACCTGACCTCGTGATCCGCCTGCCTGTGCCTCCCAAAGTGCTGGGATTACAGGTGTAAGACACCACACCTGACCTTTTCTCAACTTTTAAAACCGTGATGTGTGACTAAAACCACTTGTGCCAACCTAATACATCTTGCCCTGTGGCTGGGAGACCAGACGGTTGTCACTTGTCACTGTTGCTTCTTGAATGGCCTTGAGTGGAGGCTATGACTAGCTCTTAAGAGCTGAAAGAGAACAGCTCACTAGCCACAAACAAAGCTGTTAAGCTCACTTTTTTCCCTTCCCAGTGCCCTTAAGAGGAGCTGCCTGCAAATTACTTACAAAGATGGCTGTAGGACAAGCCCTTGAATTTGTTTCAATATTACATATAAATTGCATGTGGTTGCAGAGAATGAGGTTGGGAAGCCCTTATTCAAGAAACTGCCTCCAAGCAATGTATTTAATACTTTAGCTGGAAAATGTCTTCATGCAATTCCACTTCCCAATTTATTTGATGAATCCCACCTCCCTGCCTTACCCCATAGTGCAAAGCTGAGAGCTAAGGGGTGCTCCACAGAAGCAGCTGTCCTTGTGAGTGTGGGAGAACTATTCAGACAGACAGGATGCTTTTGCATTTGTGTGCATGAGTATACACATGCATATGTACCTAGTAGTTCTACGGGGGAAAAAATGAAGTAAATAATGGTACAGGAATACAAAAAAAAAATTCACTTTTAACTTTGAGAATTTGGCAAAGCAGCTCTGACAGTGCCATGGAAGGTATGTAAAGGCTTAACCCATGTCTCGTTTTAGGAGACAATAGATAACCCATTCTCTGGAAACTGTGTGTGCTAAAGGGAAAACGCTTTGGGCCCTTTCAGTCCCGGCTGAACAGCCAGCTGGACTGGATGTTTGAGAACCAGGGGCTTTTCTGCTAAAATTGCTGAGGCTCCTGCTCCCAAGGAGAGGCCTCAGATTGTGGGCAGAGGCAGGGGAGCACTGGGCCTTGCAGTTAGAGCATGGAAGGCCAGACTTGCTAGTGATCTGGAATCTCACCATCTCACCATCAGCTTTTAGGCCTCTCCCATGCTGTTCCTTGCTGCTCTTGTGAATACAAGCTGACTTCCAGGCACTGGAGAGGTAGTGGCCCAACAACCAAAGTCCCTGCCCTCATGGAGCTTACATTCTAGTGGGAGAGAGAGACAGTAAAGGAACACGTAATGTGACATCATGTCTGACAGTATAAGCACAGGCTCCAAGGTCTGGTGCTGGGGCCAGATCCTGCGGCTCCCAGTGGATAGTTTGGTCTTACACAACAAATGCCATCATCTTTCTCTTTTCAAAAGAACCTCTTAGAACTCTGACTTGACTTGTCCCTGTTGGCCATACACATAAGTGCCTGGGAGAGAGAGTAGTGTGTCCTCTGTTCTTTCCCACCTAATGGCAATCTCTCCGCTCACCAAAGAGAATCTCTGCCTCAGCCAGACTCCAGGGTTTATTAACATCTCAAACTTATCCTCCCCACTGAAGCTGTGCAGGTGACTCTTCCTTCTCCCTCTTGGCTTAAATCCATCCTACCTTTGGAGGCTTGGTTCTCGACAACCTCCTGCGTGAATCCTTTTCAGACACTACAGTGCTCCCTTCTCTCCTCACGGATAGCTTTACCTGCAGTATCTAGGCACCCAGTCTTGTAGTTTTTTTTATATTATGCATCTTACACATGTAAGCCTTGTATCTCCAAGAAGATTATAAACTTTCCCACAAGAACCTCTTACCACAAGTACATGGTGTGGTTTCTATAATGAGATGAACTTTGGACTTGGAATCGGAATGATTGTGTTCAAGTATTTGTTTGCCTAGCTATTCGCCTCAAGACCTTGAAGAAATCATTTCACTTCTCTGCACTTCATTTTCGTCACCTACAGGACTGGGACTCTGCCTTCCTACCTCCTCACAAGGTAATATAAACAGGGCTGACATGCTGCAGCCACACTGTAGTGGTACAGTTAGTGGTTGATCAATAGCTATTTCTCTTGTCAGTTAAGTAGGTGGGGCACCCACCACTACCTCCAGACCTTTCCACA